TGCTCCCACGATGAAGCAAATGGCTCTTCGGACATCACAAAAGCGAAGCATGATGAAATTTATCATACCGAGCGACAATGTCCATCCTGTCCGTTCTCGACCAATTCTGTTCCCGACCTCGCGCGTCATCGCACCACCCTCTGTCCCGGCAAAATCATTCTATGCGAATTCTGCCACCTCGAGGTTTGCCAAGAAGGTGACCCGTTCAATCCATCTGCGGAGATGCTTCACACGGGACTCACGGAGCATGAGCTTGTCGACGGCGCGAGGACTACGGATTGCCATCTGTGCTCAAAGATAATCCGGCTACGCGATATGTCGACCCATTTAAAATATCACGAGTTGGAGAAGGCGCACCGACTGAAGCCTCCTATCTGTCGAAATATTAATTGCGGACGGACCCAGCATGGTGTTGGCAAGAATGGTGCTGTCAATGCGGGCACCAAGATGGGCCAAGGTCCCGGGAATGACATCGGATTATGTTCATTGTGCTTCTCTCCACTCTATGTGAGCTTGTACGATCCCGAGGGCAAGGCTCTGAAGCGACGTATCGAACGTCGGTACTTGACGCAGATGATGCAGGGCTGCGGGAAAAGGTGGTGTGCCAACGAGTGGTGTAAGACAGGCCGTGCAAACTTGAAGCTAGAGCCTAAGCCGTCCACCGCGCAACTTGCGCTACCGCAAATCAAACCTCTTGTAGAGTCGGTTCGTGATGTACAGACACCTATGTACTTTTGTGTCGACGAAGCAAACCAACGTAGAAGAAAGCTGGCCGAGATGTTGGCAGCCGAAGATGATTGGGATCTGGAATGGTGCATTGCAGCCTGTGAAGCTGAGGGTGCTAATTTGGATATGGCAAGGGGCTGGCTTATCAATTGGGCACCGTCGAAAGAATGAAGTAATGAGCGATGGCATAGAGCATATAATGGCATATAGCATATGGCATACGGCATACGGCATAAACGGCGTTGGAAGATGGTCGGCATAATGATACCCATATGCAAGCATGATAGAACAATGGTTTTTCAAAGAGTGTATATTTCTCGTGTGAGACAACTGGTTAATCTGCTACCAGACACGACGAGCCCCGTATAAAGTAAAGACTGTCCCCCTTAATGCATATGTCTCTCCCTTGTCCGCAAAGTCCTCCTGGTTATCTCTCCTGAGCCATGTTGGTCGGATCGAATAATTGCAACGGTTTAATGAGACTAGACAAAATGTAAGTATATGAGAAGGGTATTTTCGAGAGCTCGTCAGAAGCTAGCTACTTACGCAGCAAGAGCAGGAGTTGCTATAGTCGTACACGTTAGCTTCAAGCTTCAGAAGACAATGGTAGTATTTGAAAGGGGGCCGGCAGCTTACCAGTCAGCGCAAGAGCAAGTAGCGCATCCACAAGTAGCGGGCTCCATTTCGAATGTTGATGGGTTTTTGGTTTGGGTTAAGCTAAAGCTTAGAAATATACCTAGTCAAGATTGCTTTGGTGTTTGAGGTCTTGGTTGTACGATGATGTTGTTGCTATCGAGCTATCAAAAAGGGGGGAGCTTGATGGCCTTAAATATTCGTTTAAGCTGCAAGACATAGCTACAACCAAACCCCCTGGAGTCGTCTTCGCCCCCCTTTACAGCTATCTACGTACATGATTGTCGTATGGGGGTTAGTGAGTTGGCGCTTTACGCGACGTGAATAGCTTTGCCTTGTTATCACATGCTGGCGGCCATCCGTTTAGATCGTGATACCGAATAGGATGTATATTAGAGCGGGGGGGAAATACAATGTTGGAGTCGTGCAACCCCAGTTAATGTCCATTGATCGGCAGGGATGTCGAGATAGCTTCACTAACGCTTTCTTGAGCTTCTATTCGGTATAGCATCTACATCTTTTCGAAGCTGAATACGGGGGAAAGCCTCTAAAGATAGCTCCAGTGCGTGTATAGTACTTAGTCTTTTCCCTATTCGAATTCGATTCCATAGTCGTTGACCGCAGCTGCTTTCATTCACCCATCTGTTAAGCATAGCTTGCAACTTCTATCTGCCTTCTCCCCACCCTTCTCCCCACCCTTCTCCCCATCCCTTAGCTAACTGGCTTGTACGCCAAGCAAGCCCGCCCCGAATCGTCGAGTGGGATTTGCCACGCCAGTGACCAAAGGCGTGTGAGCTTCTGTTGATTAAGGCTGTAGGAGAATGGTCAGGTGCGGTACCCGATAACTGCTGTTTGGTCGGACTGCTCCGAGTCCTGCCTCCTTCTGGAGACCCACAGACTTAACCTGCAGACGATATACACCATCGGGACCGGTTTGGTCCGTAAATTTGATAGCAAGGCGCCCGCACGCTCCTAATCGGCTCGAGCCCGCTTGGCTAATAGGAAGGAATACAACTATCGATGTCAGAACTAGGACTCGGTTTAGTCCAATAAGCTAGTTCTATTGTGAATTAATCCTAGCATCTACTCCCACATCTTACTTTCGTGTCGAATCAACTACCTTGTAAGTGTTCTTTGAGAGACAGTCGGGCTGTGAGGCTGCGTGGGCTGGCTTAATACGAACGGGGCTTGCTCCGACCTTTTGATTTCATACTGTATGCTGTGTCCGAAGTCTCACGGTAATGACCTACTACTCCCAACCCGCGCCAATCCAGACTTTACATGGACTGGTTGGGTTGGTAACTTAATCAAGAAGTTGCAAATAGGTCCTTATACTTGACTTGTAAATAGCATTATGTGTTTCATTATTATTATATTAATTAATACTGCAGTGTAAACATCTAGCCTAGTCAGTCCCAAATCTACCTAGGCAGCAACTAATAGCCTCTCTAAGAACTAGAGTCTGTAGCCACAGTGCCTCGGCGAATACGCCACGCGCGCTTAATCACTGCAGCCGTTGAAACCACGCGAGTTGTGAGACGATGTTCTTCCGAAGCGAGTCTACGTTGAAGAATCGAAATGTAAAGACCTACATAGTATAGTGTGATAAGTCAACGCCGGTATCCCCTGCAGAGTTTAGCCTCGTGACGAGATGAAAGTAGAACGACCGAGTTTAAAGAAGAGAGTGGGAGTGGGTGTAGGAGAATAGCAACATCCCAGCCCTAAATTACAACATATGTTAGATCTATTCGTAAAATGCATGACTAAAATTTATTTACCATAGACGCATCATTTGCTATTCATTACCAATTTAATGATAGGGTAGCCAATACAGCGGCGTGCGGCAAGCCTTGGCGGCAAGGTATAATATAGATTCCATGTGCAGTAGTAGGCTGCAAGGACCCTAGAAAATATCCATATAGAATGGAAGTTATGGTCAGACCTGCAAGGGGCTGCGTGTAACGTCAACGTGAACGGAAAACATAATAGTTAGAGCAGCCCGTTTATAACTTTGCCGGGTGCCACATTTCATATTTGCTATAGTGGAAATCTAGGGCATGATTCTGATCGTAAGTAATACCTTTATGATTAAAGTACTCTCTATATTCTATATTTTGAATGGAGCACATAGGGCCAGTAGAGTGTTTTCTTAAGTCAGCATAGGGGAATATGATAAGAAGCTAGACGGGGAAAATGATGTCTGAATATTTAATTAAGCATTTGTATAAGTTCAGTAAAGATATCAAACCATCCTCTTGGAGTGATATATTGTCGTAAGCTTCTAGCACCGCGATATGAAAAGTAATAGTATGAAAATGCGTGTTTTAGGTATTAGACAGACACCTAGTAAATTTCGAAAACAGCTTGAACTAGGAAGATCAGGTATTCGAGTGAGAACACCCCTTTTGTTGGAAGTAACAAAGTGATTTTTTCCCCACGTGTTGATTGAAATTATCCTATTTGCGAGAAGATAGAGAGAAATAATGGAGGACGGACGAGGAAACTGTTAGGATTCAAGAGTTCATGGCGCTGGTTATCAAGGTTCTACATTTACCCCCTGGAATTTTACCTAAGATGGTACAATACCACACCTGTTGCCACAAAATAGCACAAAGACCGAGGCAGAGTTTTGGAATGTCATAGCTAGTTAGTCCAGCTTGGAATATACAGATTAATATGTCAAGGCGTACGGCTGACTTGTCGACATCGCTCAAATACAGGTCGCTTGTCAAGATATCAAGGCACCCTATATCTCCGTAATTGTATCCGCATGATCCGCAGCTGTATGAAGACATAATAGCACAATATATTGAAAATAATATTGACCAATTGCTTGAAATCGCCCCACGTATTACGCATATAATAAAGGCCCTCGGCCCTTAAGACTATAGTGATGCAGTCACCAGATCCAGACAGGTTAGTCCTAATCCACACCAGTTCATATCATCGGAGATAGCATAGCAATCAGGTGGAATATATTGGATTAGAAATAAGTAAATTGAACTTACCCAAGTTATTGCTCGGCGCCCACGGCGGTTAAGATGAAAAGGAACACCTGCTTTGTGACCAAAGAAAGGTGCAAACCTCCATTAAAAAATACTAAAAGCATCGAAACGAATTCATTAAAACGTGCTAATAACAAATATAAAAGCAATATTAAAGCATAGCAAGCACAAGATAATCGACTTAAATTCTCGACGTGAGATTAGTATAACCCAACTATACCTCTAGATGTTTCTCGTGAGTGAACCAAATTTCTAGAGTGTGTCCTTTTACCCCTTATTTGCTTTTTATTTGAAATACATTTCTTATCGCCTGTTGATGGGAATCTCTATAAAGGTATAGGGAATATTGGCAGCGTATTTCGAGGTAGGCTATTGTTAACATCATGAGATATCAAGAATAGCCGGGGAAATACAATAAGTCACTTTCCTTAAATACTACTTCGCGTACCGTACACGTCATGGCTGTTTTGTTAACTTGCTGCCTTTGCTAAATCGAACTCCAGTTTCTTTGTTCGGAGATAACAAACCCGCACGTTCTTCGTCATAAGAGGCGGACTTACTAGACCGCAGCGAACTCGTTACTCTCGCCTAAAATTCTGTAAAGCCCTTTCAAGAAAAGCTACCAGACGCTATTATGAGTAAAGATGATGTTGTTACTCAGACCACAGTTTTCGAGATTTCAGCGAACACAATTCCGATATATATATATATATTTCATTAATTCTTTTTTGAAACATGTGTTGTAAGCTTTCTGGGATAACCTTGCATTAAAGATTCAATATTCAAAATGTGTGTGAAGGTAAAGGTGTGATTGGTTAAAATGTAGCATGGTTGGTAGGGTATAACGAAACGAGCGATTTTGAATATTGGTTTGAGGCACTGAAATAAAATATAGGATATAGGATACAGCTAATCAAAGTAAATGCATAGTCTTAAACTCAGGACTTTTATGCAAACCCGCCGCAGGGGTGCCTCTTGCTTTGCTTCATTGCGCCGCGGCCACTTCCACTTCGTGTTCTTGAACGCGCCGTAACAGGTCTTTCAGTGCCGCCATTGGCTTCCCCTCAGCTGCGCCATATGAAATACAAACTTGCAAATGTTCCCGACCCTGGGCCTTTAACTTCTCACCATGATGGAAGCGATTGAACGCTTGTAAGTCGAGCGGAATCATATGCTTCTCCCACGCCGCCAGCGAAGCGGCGAGTCCAGCTTCAGTCATCGTTCTAGCAGCCTGCTTACCCAGCTCCCCGTGGATGTCGAGCTCCTGGATTTCCCTCACTGATGCGACTACAAGACTCCATAGTTCCTCTCCATCGATGTCTTTAAATTTAGGCCAGTCCATCAATTCACATGCCGCAAAGACGGGGAACAGGGGATTTATGGCAACGGCGCATTCTAATGCAGGCTTGACGGTGCAGCGTGAAACCCCGCTGGCATTGTAAATCTCTGCAAACCCATTTGCCACGGCAGGGGAACTATCGTCGACGGTGAAACCATCGCCTAGCTTGTCCGTGTAGGCGAAATCGGCCTTTGCGATCAGATTTGGGTCCACCGGGGCCTCTAGTGGTAGAGTCAACGCCTTCGTGGAGTAGGCATGAATATCGAGATGCCCGTTGGTTACTTGCTCGTCCGCTAGCCCTGAGAGCTGAAGGAACCAAGCGTGTAAGTCGAAGAATATGGAACCGAGGACGACTTTTGTATTAGTCCCGCGTGCAGCATCGCCTATCGTCCTCACTAAGCCTACACCTGCCTCGTTTCGCAAAGAGGCACCATCGAGTGTAATAACAATGTAGTCATAGTCCGATCCAAGTATTAGTAACGGGTTCGTAATGTAACTGTAACTCTTATACTCCTTCAAGTTGTTATCATCGTAGCAATAGAGCATCTGAGGATTATCCAACGCCTTGGCACGATGTGGGCGGATGAGGAATGTCACGTCGGCTCCGGCGAGACTAAGGTGATAACCGGTGAGAACTCCCATGGACCCAGCCCCGATAATCAGAATTCGGGGTTTTCGATCCTCGGACATTTTGATTGTATAGAGCTTCGGGTCATCAATATTTTGAGTGGAAAAGATACTGCCTGCTCGATGATAGAGAATAGAGTCTTATACAAATTTCCGTGTGATCAATGCTTACATATCGATATTTCGCAGTATGTTACCTCGGCGACTTTTTCATCGTGTACTCGGAATACTTACCCAAATAAGTATCAGTCGGGCCTGGATTAGCCCATATATAACAATGACTCATGGGGGAACCAGCATACGAAATCATTAGTGCTAGCTTTCGCCTCCTCGCACCCAGAGGGTGCTATAATTTAATTAAGGAATCGGGCAAGATTAAGAAATGTCTCCGAGCTAATAAGGAGGTTATTCCGACCCTTGAAACTTACTAGAAAGGTAGGTAGGTATAGATTTTAGCGCTGTTTGAAAATAATACTTCGAAATAGGGAAGCAGCTCACTTGTTCGGGAGCACCTTAAATCAATCCTTAGTGGTAATTTGTCCCAAGTAAAGGTGCGACCTCAACGGTTGGGTGGTGAAAGGCGGATAAGCGGGATATGTAGAAGGACTAGGTTGCAGGCTTCTGTGGGGATGCCTTTTTGGGTAGACTTTAAATATAAGATATAACTATAGATAGTTGTCTGCATACCTAGGTATGGTGCATTTTCTTTAGTAATGGGCGTATATTTAAGTAAATTTCATTAAATATCTGTTTCATAAGGCGATATGAACGTCACGAAGAATAAGCATCTAATGGCCTACCAACACCCCGTAGTTAAATATAAATTCAGGTTTCAGATTCCATCTAATTATGTTTTATAATCTAGGAATCAACGTAATGTCTAACTAAGGTGGCTACCTAATGAGTCTTAACATCGTCCCTATCCTCGCTAAATACACTTGGTAACGGATGGGTTATCACATCATATATCGTTCCCAGTTTGGTTTTCACTTGACAGTAGTCCATTGGTAGCTTCATACAAAATTATGTGTTGAATTTCGGAGCTGTTTATAAGACCACGGTAATCCTAAGCGCTTCATATAAATGAGATATAAGATCTTATGCACCTGGGTAAGTAGGATCCCTTCACATGGCTTCATCGATTATGAATCGTTAAAGCCTGAAGAATCGAGCCGCTTCTGTCACATCATTTACTCCTACATTTGTGCCCGCTCTTTTCTTCGCACCGGTACTGTGCTCGGAGTCTTGACGGTCATTACCACCATCATTTCTCATTGTTCCTTGCATTTTTTCTCAGCATTCCCTCAGGTATATCGGAGCCTATACTCTACGGCAAGCACTGACTAGAAATAATGAAGTCAACCTTTTACGGTTAGCCATTGCCGCTGCGATCATCAAGCTGATAGTAGTCCTCATTGAACTGCGACGCCGTTAAACATAGCTTCAGAATGCGGAAGTCTAGGGTATCAAGAAAACTGGCGGCCATGCTATTGTGGCTGCTTTCGTACGCCTACATCATCTATTCCTCAAGGCTTATAAGGAAAATGCAATTGGCACTGAGATATCTCTTTCTTCTCGATATGGATATGTCTTCTAATTCTTTGCGGGCGAGATTTGCCGATCACTTATCACGTTCTCATCTTCATGGTAAGAAGCACGACCTTGCGAAAGTGCTGGCAAAATCATTAGCAACTCTGTTTTTACTTCCAGTTATACCCTGAAAACATAGTGGGCTTTTTCGTCCTGACCCTCATATCAGATTTTCCCACACACTTCTAAGAATCCCGGAGACGGGACGGTCATGCATATTTACCTATATACAGAACTATCGAAATACACTGAGTTAATGCACTGCATCAGAAAGATATCTCTAAGAGCCCCAAACAGGGGTGCCCTGTTCAGTGCTTATCCATTCCTACATCAACCACTAAAACGAGCCATCTAGGAATCGGACCTGTAGAAGACGCCATGGGGTTGCAAAATGTCTCTATTGATCGGCTTACTTGTTTTATTCTTCAGGTACGTTAGGAGGTAATTTTCTTCTTCTTACCCCGCGTATCGACGTTATGTTGTATGGATACAAGTATAAACGTTTTATCATTCAAGTACAAACACCTCTGAGGTTGGCAAGCTTCTAATTCAACATACGTGTACTTCTTATACACGGTTCAGGGGTGATATCATCCGCATTTCGAAAGTATGGCGCCTCTTAGCCAAACAGAGAAAGATGCACTCGTCTCTAAGGTTTTAGGAGAGCTTTCAGGAACACCTTATGCTTGCTCTTCGCTGACGCATCTAACAAACGGAACTACTAACTTCGTATTTCGTGGAAAATTAGCCCATCCCATCCGTGCAGATGGCGGGGACCAAAGTACCACTACGACCGTTATCATCAAGCACTCGACGGAATTTGTCGCCGTCAACAAGGACTTTCCTCTAGATCCGTCACGTGCTGTATGTGTTTCTCCCCCCCTACTCGCCCCTATAGGAAGTCCCTGTTATATTATAAAATAAGAAGAGAATAATTAGTATATAATTGACCCTCTGTTATCTAGTTTTACGAAGAGTCCATGCTTCATGCTCTAAGCAACTTCCCATCTAGCACCATGGCCGTCAAGGTACCACGACTCCACCTCTTCATCCGCGATGCAAATGTCCAGGTATTGGAAGATTTCCCTGCAGCGGTCGATTTAAAGAATATCTTGGTGTCGCCAACTGCAAACAGCATCCTCACGGCACCAGTGGCTGCGTCCATCGGTTACAACGTGGGATCCTGGCTGCGTTCATTCCATACGTGGAGCTCTTCCTCGAACGCAGAGTTGAAGGCCATCGGCGATAATGAACCCATGCGGAAGTTGAAGTACGCCATTACCTATGATAACTTTCTAAAGGTACTCGAAAATAACTTTCCCGATCTTCTAGAAGGACACCGGTTGACTCTAGAACAAGTTAAAGATGCTGCGACAAACGAGTTTCAAAAGACGTCTGGAGATGAAGATGGGGGTGAGCATTGGGGACTTATACATGGCGACTTTTGGACGGGAAAGTATGGAATTGCTTCTTTTTCTACTTTCAGTCTCCGGCATGGTGAATACCTAAGAGGTACCTATGTAGACTAACACAGCCAGTGTGCTACTTCCGAGCAATCCGTCGCTGAGCACTGAACATCTGGACGGCGCCAAACTCTTCATTGTCGATTGGGAATTTGCCCAGTTCGGACATTGCGCATATGATATCGGACATATGGTCAGTGATATTTACGAGCGGAAACATTTCTTCCAAACCGACGGTGCCGTGCCCGCGATTGAGGGGTTCATCCAAGGGTACGGAAGGCTAGAGGACGAGCTCGCCTTCCGCACTGCCATCCACGCAGGAGTTCAACTGATCGGCTGGTATACTAGACGAGCTCCAACCGCTCCTCTACAGTTCCCCCTAGAGAAGGTTACCGATGCGATGAGGATTGGGAGGGATTGGATTCTGAAGGGATGGCAGAAGGACCGAGATTATTTCCGGACCAGTCCCTTGGCGTCTTTGTTTAAGAGATGAGCAGAGCGAGCTTGGTTCAAGGCGCTTTGAATGAAATAGCGTATCGGACCAAGTATGACACTGACACATGATAGACTTTATCGACGTTTTATTCAACTCCTAGCCATCACATACACATGCTTACGATGATCATGGCGTATCAGTATTAACTCAATATACTCTTAAATATTGAATTACTAATGCCAAATCTTAAATAATAGGTACCTAAGCGCTTTATATTAGATAGATATGTCTAAGGTGCATGTAATCAGTTAATAAGATGAGCCGAATACTATAGTATCGGTTCTCAATTTCTTGTTTAACAATTTCTAACTTACTTTAAGCGTAGAAGATATTTTGTGAATATATCGAATAACTTAGAGACCTTCGGTGCTTTCAGGGCAATTTTAGCTAATATTGATGCCGAGGTACGGCTGGATTTACCCTATCAAAACTCTGACACTATGGCTTCAGGATAGGCATCTCGTGAATACCAGGGCCGACCAGCCCTCGAATCTTAGCTTCCCCTTATACCCAATACGCTGTTATACTGATGGCACATATTTTTTGAACCCACAGACCGATCCGTCGCTATCCCGTCTCTCTACCCCACCGGACAGCACAACTCCGTCTGTTCCCTGTGCCAACGTCGCAATAGATCTCACTACCTTTCCATAATCTCCTAGGAACTGATGGGCGCGGACGTCGTCTTCACGTACCATGCCGTGACCGAGCGTGACCACCCAAATGCCCCCAATATCCAAGGCATGGGCCGCGGCGTCGCAGTCCGGCTGTAAGAGTACAGAGTAAATGGCTCCGGAGTGGATAACGACATGTGCGTGTTCCGACCTAAGCAAGAAGTTCGCGGGGAATATCCATTCAGCGGTCAAATTATCTATCCGGATCGGGTGCCAAGGCGTGATGACAAGGTCGGCAATCCTACACATGACGGTCCTATAGACGAACGTCTTCACTACAGCTGCAACGCGTCTGCTTCCAACGGGCGTGCGTACGTGTGAGCCCTTACGTAGGCTACAAACGGGTACCTTTCGACCGCTAGCCAGCGTAACTTTGCTCGAACCTGTGAAGCAAGGGGCGGTCTTCATATTGAGCCGTGACATATTCAGGTGTCTAGTGGTGGCAACCCTGGGACAGGACTGTGTCGGCGGTGGTATGGTATCGAAGGCTTTATCAAGAGCATCCCTACATTTAGTGAAGAATGAGTTCTGGTTATACATCAAGGGGCCGGGGTCTTTAAAGGAGTTGCACCTAGATGACAGGGTTATTAGACATCGTAAAAAGGTGATAAAGGTCGTCTTCTTCTTGTTCTTTTCTTTTTTATTATGATCTCTAGTAAGAAGGACTTACAGCTGCTTCGCGTGCGCATCCCACAGACTAAAGAAGTAGTGGCATCCCCATCGCCTGAAATATTCTTGGCTCGATAGAGCTAAATTCACTTGACCGGACGGGAGGTCACCTACAAGATCTGCCATTAGAGATCTGTTGTATTCGTCGTCAAAGAGTCTGGCAGGAATGTTATCTAGCAGCCTTTGGAACACTATCTGGTGACGCTGTGGATTGATCTCCTTGCGAGTCTCGTATTCGCCATCACTCTGGAGTGGGAATAAGGATGAAAGGAATTCGCATATCATTGATCGGCTCTGGTGGTACGCAATTTGGGACTCGGAGAGGATGTGTGAGTTACTCGTAGTGCCATAGGCCAGTATACAGAATTCTGCGACTCTCATCCGCGAGTATCTAAGCTCTCCTGTGATATTAGTTTCTTTCATAGAGGAGCTGAACCTGGTCCTGCAACCCTGGCTGTCGATGATCTCTAGATATATATCTCGAGACTGGCCGTATTGCAAGTTTCCCAGCTTTATGACAAGTCTATTAAAGTCTGCTTCCTCTTGCCCCTGCCTGTTAATGACTTTGCCCGCTGTCGTTCTCAAGCGAGTGTCTTTAGGGCTGGTGAGCTCAAGCGTACATCCTGTTG